TATATATATATATATATATGCAGATGGGGGTTGGGTTTGCTTGTACTGCGGTCGCAGGCCATTGCCCCCCAGTTCATTTGCCTTTGAGCATCCCAATGCGGTGTACAAGCTATGCGACTTGGGGAATGCTTGCTGGGCTCAGGAGCACTTCACCGATGACATTCAAACTCGACAGTACCGCTCGCCAGAGGTTCGCAGGTGTCGCAGAGTGCTGATTTTCCCGTGGAGCCGGCGTGTCTGTGTCTCCAAGCTGATGGCATTGTTACTGCTGTTGTGCTGCTGTTCAGGTTATCATTCGCGCTGGGTATGACTGCACGGCCGATGTATGGAGTTTCGCTTGCATGGTGTTCGAGTTGGTGACGGGAGATTACCTGTTTGACCCGAAGAGCACTGGTGACTTCGACAGGGATGAAGATCATCTTGCACTGGTGTGTTCTCGTCCTCTTTTGCGACGAGCGCGCATGCATGCCCCAGTCAATGGGCCCTTAGAGGCAGTGCCTTCACCGAGATAAGTGGGCTTATCTTTGTGCCTGCAGATCATCGAACTTGTTGGACCAATGTCGTTGAACTTTGTCTCCCGCGGCCGTCATTCGCATGTAAGCGCACCGACCAGCGCGCTATACCTTAACACGTGATAAGCTTTACTTCCAGCGACGCACTTGTAGGATCTTGATTGTTTTGTGGCCTGAACAACTTAACTCATCCTGCCAAGCTATGGCGCCTCCAGCAAGGCGTCGACGTCTTAGAACACAAAATCCGGGCGTTGCAGCGGAGACTTTGTATGGGTTCCGGGGCCTAGATCTCGTTTCTGAGTTCATTGTTTGGTTTTTTTTAATATACGATCGGGATGATTTGTTGGTTAATGCTGTTACAGCGCTTTTTCCGGGAACGTTCGACAGATTTGCGACGAATTGACGATCTGCGGTTTTGGCCGCTTGTGGCTGTCCTGAGAGAAAAGTGAGTTTGTGTGTAGGGTGTTAATGGGTACACGAAAAGCCCGTCATATTTGATGTTGGCAGCTGGAATGGTATATAGACAGGGTCGCCTGCTCTAGATAAGTAGATGTTTGGCTTGAGAGCTTCTGCAGTATTGAGTGTACCGCGCTCTTTGTATCCTGGTTCCTAGCTTGGGCGGCTGCAGACGTTGCATGGCTCTTCATTTCCTTCTCACTTTGTGCCTTGGACGCCCGTGCAGGTACCACATGGGAGAGGCGGAAGCTGTGGCGCTGTCTGACTTCTTGGTACCGATGCTGGCGCCCGATCCGCTGAAGCGTCAGGGAGCAAAGCAAATGCTTGATCATCCCTGGTTGCGGATGCGTTCACCGGAGGACGAGGTGGCGTATTGTGAGATGGTCAGTATACACTTATACGCATCACATGAGACGCTGGGGAAAGGGGTTGGCTGCTGCAGGCCCTATTGCTAGCATTGCTGCTGCTGCATGCTTGTCAAGCCCCAGACGGGAGCGGCGCTTTCGATTGAGGTGAAGTATGTGCTGTACCGCTTAAGGTGTAAGGTTTTCTGTCGTGGTGGCTGCAGCGCAACAACATGCACGTCTCTAGGCCGAACTTGGACGCTCCCCTCCTTTCTTTGTCTCCTGGGCACTCGCCAGCCGACCTCGCAGTGGACCCCAACGCCTTGTGGTGCGCAGCTTCTGCATATGTCACCGCTAACGACTACAGCTGCGGCTGCCGCATCGATTCCCACATTTGTACGCCTTGTGTAGCTGACGGAGGGATTTCTGAAGTTTGGTGCGGCTTCTGCCTCCGCTTTTGTTTGCGGTGCAGTGGCCGTCGCCCAGAGGAGGTTCACGGGTCCGCCCCACCCGGAACAGCTGGTGCGGCGTGTATGTATAGCTCGGCGCCGGGATATGGCCCATCGCCTCCTGTAATTGGAGTGTCATCGCCCTACGCGTTACATCAGCACCAACAGCAGCTTCAACAACGACAGCAGCTGCAGCAGCTGCAGCAAGAACAGCAGCATCTGTATGGCTCCGGGCCTGTAGTTCTACCCGCCGGTGGAGGCCCCGTCGACGCGGGAAATGAGCTCTACACGTTGCAGAGACAACAGCTGCTACAACAGCAGCTGCAACAGCAACAGCAGCTGCAGCATCTACAGCAGCAGCAGCAGCTGCAGCACATGCAGCAGCAACTGCTCATGGAAGGACTAGGTCGTCATGCTGAGGGAGAGAGAAGCAAGACGACCCAGACTGCTGGTGGCATTCTTGGTGTTGTGTAAGCTGCTCGTGTTATTGCTGCTGTTATTTCTGCAAACGAGGGATTTGCGAATATTTATATAATCGAAATACCCCTGAGTTCCCGGCGGATCGGAGCTTTTGTTTGTTTGGAATGTGCAGTGGTGGGAGCAATACGGGCTGCAGCAGCACGGCAGTTACGGCGGCAAGCAGCAGCAGCGGCAGAGCAGGTGCAGCGACAGGCCCTGCAGCAGCAGCTGCTGCTGCTGCCTCTGCTGCAAGAATGTTGATGGGCTACCCAGGGACAAGTGATCCGCAGTACTTCCGAGCAAGCAGAGACTGTTGGGACGGCCGAAGCGTCCCAGGCTTTCCGCCTATTGGCAGCAACAACAACAGCAGTGGAGCTGGTGGCTTACGTCCAGAGGCAGGTGGCGTAAGTGGATGGTTCGCTGCACCAGCTGCAGGAGACGCTCCCCAGCAGCAACAGCCTCAACAGCAACAGCAACAGCAGCAGCAGATTCCGTCTGCAAGGGGGGAGGTATGCGGCTCGTCGTCTGCTGATAAGCGGCCCGACGGCCTCCATCAAGGGGGCAGCGCACGAGTTTCTGCCACTCCGGTGGAGGCAGAAGTCCAGGCTGTCGCTGCTCCTGCAGGAGGTGAGTTGGTTGGGTTGTCGTACAGAGTGGCTCCTCCGTGAGCTTCTTGTCTAGCCAGTTGCATACACATCTAGCTAGAGCTACGTAGGGACCTAACCAGTTGGCCAGCAAATGTTTTGTATCTAGCTTTCTTAGTGAAGCGTCTGGTGTGTGAACGTGGAGTTTGGGAGTAAAGAGGACTGTTGCGCAGTGAGGCGGGAGCAGAGAGCCCAACAGACACATCAGCGCAAGGGATCAGCTGTATGGATGTGGTGTGCAAGGTTTAGAAGGTAGTTGTCAGGTTTTGACTTGTCTTGTGGTTCTGGTTGATTTTCATGTGCTGGTATACGAATGCATGCCTATATGCATACATACCTGCGTATGAATATGGAAATGCATGGATGGTATATACGTGTCATGTGTACATATTGGTGTTCTTTTGGGGTTGGGCGTGTTTTATTCTTCGTTTGCGTATGATGCACACAGACCGTTAAAGTGACTGAAGGCATATCCACGTGTTAGCATATAGAGCTCCGCCAGTCTAAGGTCTGGGATAATAGTGTAATGTGTTGATCTGTACATTTGTCGCCCAACAGCACCCAAACACCCTGCAGTTTATGACGAACCCTTTGCTGATGCTGTGTATGCCCAACGGACGCGCAGATTGGGGGAGTGTAGGCGAGCCCGTCTCATGGATTCCGGGAGCGGCGGTGATGCAGCAGCAGCAGCTCGAGCAGCAGCAGCAGATGCGGCAACACGTACAGGAGATGCAGGAAAGGAAACAGGAGTTTCTGCGCCAGCAACAGGAACTAAACAGGATGCTCAAGGGGGTGCAGCAGCTGCAGCATGGTCTATCAGGGAGCTCCTGAAGCAGCACGAAATGCGAGAGAGGCAGCAAACGGCAATCTGTTGTTCATTGCCCTCGAGTCCCACAGGTGGTAGGGAACTTAACCAGGTGCTCTGTGTTGCGCTGCTCGTGCGCGGCTTTAACCTAAGCAGCTGCTGCTACGGCAGATGAGACTGCAGGAGCCGCTGCTCCTGTTGAGTGGTCACGAGGGAGCCTTTTTCCGGCAGCAACACAGAGCAGTAGCAAGAGATTTCAAGGGCCAGGGGACCCTTGTAACGCTTTTTCCCGTGGGCAGTATATACTCGGCTGCAATGCCACGTGCTCCATCAGCACCGGCACCGCCATGTGGGGCCGCGTGCACCAGCTAAAAGGGACCTTGAATTTCACAAATAGGGCTACTGTTGCTTCATTCGGCAGAACAGCAACAGCAGTAATGAGGGGAAGCGCAGTACGGCACTTGCAAGAGATTATTTTGTCTCCTTAATGGATGAGTTGCTGCATTTGCAATTCGTGTGTGCATCGCATTACTGCTGGCGACGGGCAGCAAGTCAACGATTTCATTACAGATGTTTGTAATAGTTATTTTGCCTGCCGTCAGCGGGCCAGCATGTGTTATGCTAAAAGCACATCGAAGGACGTATGCGAGCGAGTCTGCCATAGGGCTCAGTGTGTGTGACGTAGGAACTACGGTGTTGGGGAATATGAAGGCCTTTTAGTACTTGGGAGCAGTTATCACCATAGGCGCATGAGTTCAGTTTCATTGCTTTTGTGCGGGAGGTGTTTACGTGCTTCGCTAGCTGGTCTTGTATGTTAAATGAACGATGGAGAATTGGATTGGAGTTATCATTGTGGTGGATATTGCCACTTCCGACTAAGCAGACGCCATGGCGCACTTTGTGCGATGAAGCCAATATTAGCGAAGGGGAAGCACAGACTCCAGACAACCTGTCGATGGAAAAGAATTAGGCGGCAGTATGAATACGCAAAGAGTGCGAACTGGAGGGCGCCGCTCTGTGCGACTTTGGAAGCCCTCGGCTTTGTCACTCATAAAATAGGGTCAAATCGCCGACCAAGCACTTTCGTATGAAACGGACGACTGGAGAGACAAGATTGGGGGTGGATGGACAGGAGTTCAGGGTTCTGACCTTCCTGCGTGTATAGCGCAATGCCGCAATGTGCCATGCGTCAGGACACACAGGTTACTCAGCGATAGTAGACAGCTCCCGCACCCCATCTAGACCAGCAGAACTCGCCAATATATATATATATATATATA